GTAGGGAAGCTGGCTCACAGGCGCGGCGCCTGTTCCTCCAAGATCGCGGCATTGCTCCCCTATGCATTCGCGCAGAGCCTTTGGAGCCGTGGCAGCAGTAGAGGCGTCCAGGGTTTAGACCCTATAAGGCTCTGAATCGCAAAAGCTTGGAGAGCGAAGAGCGGATGTGTAACCGTGTAACCCCGCATCTGACACTGGATGTATAGATTGGCGGGGTCGACTTGCAAACTTCGCAGCGAGGATGGCGACCTGCTTTGCATCACTTGCTCCAACCTTGCCGGGGAGGACGGCGTCGTGCTGAACTCTCGAACAGCCCGAGAGTCGCCTGAAGGCTAAAAGAACCCCTAGACTCCTCCTCCGGGACATCCCACAGAGCCCTCATTCCCAGGACCCCAAACGTCCCAAAGCCCCGAAGCCGAGTAAACTTTTTTCTTCAGGGGGTCGCGCTGCCTCGCCACCCAGGAGCTACTTCAGCTCCAAGTGGAGGGGCGAAGTGCCTTCAGAGACCTGGACCCTTCGACTTGAATCCCACTTCCGAAGCCCGAAGCCCCAGCCCTAGACGTGTCGTCTCGGCCCCAAGCACGGGCTCACGCAAAAAGGTAGAAAAAGACAGTGAAAGCGGCCTAGGGTTCAAGGCTTCAGGGCTTCGGTCCTAGAGCCCTAAACCCCTAAACCCCTAAACCCTGATTACACCCGGAGGCGGGAGGGGGGGGGGGGGAAGCCTTTCCTTGGAGAGCATGATGAGGACCAGCAGATCCAGGAGACAGTGCCCAGAGCCGCTGGGGACGGAGCATTCGACAGTTTTTTTTTGGGGGGGGGCCTTTTTTGGGGCTATTCATATTGTGGGGTTCAAGGATTGGGGGTTCAAGGTTTGGGGAGAGCCGCATCCCAGAAGGAGTACCCAACCATGCTGTCAATGTACCCGTGTTGCTTTCTCTCCCTCGTTTTTTTAGCCGAAACCCAGCGCAGCCCTCAAAGCAATCTACCGCACTGCTCTCAGTCTGCTAGAAGTTATGTGGCTTCGGGATGTTTGTTTAGGCCTTAGGGTTGTTTGAACGAATTTGAGCAGATAGGTTTCGGCACCAGATATGTTCGGCTGACTCTAATCCTTCCACTAGTGCAGAACATTCTGTTTGTGCCACAAGTGCTGCTGCAAGTGTCTACCAGCCACCTTCGTCGCTAGTTCGGAGTCTACCGAATGCAAAACTTCAAGCCTTCTACCCTTAACCTTGGCCCACAAAGCCTGCCCCCAGACCCCTTTCATCCCCCCCCCCCAAAAAATGAAAAGTAATTATTGGTGTGTTTTGTTTTTTTTGGTCTGGCGAAGTTTTGGAGGGTTTGGCCTGTCGGGCTTCTGGTGGCCTCGGGCTGGCCAAGTGATTAGTTTGTCGCCCATGTCGAGAACTGGCCCCAGATAGCCTGAAAGCACAGAGCCCCCAAACCACAAAACCACAAAGTCCCAAACCCTCACTTACGGCCCCAACCCAGCCAAGCCCTCCACCAGCCAAGGCAGAGGGCGTCAATGCCTGGAAGTTGGCACTCCCGGACGGCCGCTGCGCTGACGATGTGCCTGCGAGCGCGTCCGTGAGGGAGGTCTTGAAGGTTTAGGGTTTCAGGGTTGCGGTTTAAGGGCTCCCAGTCAGATCGCAGGTGTAGATTCCTAGAGGTTCTGGAGGATACTGTACACAGGAGCCATCTTGTTTCCGCGGAGGTCTATGGGGGTTTCAGGGACTTCGCCTCTTATGTACAGTGTACAGAAACGTGGTCATGAGGCCCCCAGCCGAAGGGATCAAGATGCACAAAGGGCGCGACCCACGATGCCATCCCTGAAGGGGATGATGCTTGAACGTAGACCGTTGCAGGTGGTCTCGGGGTGAAGCTTAAGCTCATGCCCTGGCATGAGCTACTCGAACTCTCGGTTCTCGGCGGAGCAGTTGACCGCGCGACGGCCATGGAGACCAAAAAACTTGGATGCTCATGTAGTGCGCCCCGGAATTCTGAGGAGGAACGAAGGAGTCGGGGGGGGGGGGGGGGGGGGGGCGGAGGAGGCTCTATAGGGCCTGGGGTTTAGGGAAGCACTGAGGGCTCAGGAGAAGGCGTCCCAGGCGTGTTGCAGTGAAAAGCGTAGGGACTTCTAACCCTATCAACCCTAGACCCATCGAGAAGTGTACCCAACACCCTACCCTCGCCTGAACAGAAAGCCTGTAGTGACGTGATCCCTCGGACGCCCAGTCCAAGGCAAGTTGAAGGGGTTAAGTCGAGGGGCAGGATGACTAAATCCCCAGGCTTGCAACAAAAGAACCCTAAGCCCCCACCCAATTCCCAAAACCCTAAAACCTTAAAGCCTCAATGGCATCTGTGGACCCCTAAAACCCCCAAAACCCTAAAACCCTCAAACCCTCAAGCCCACAAGGGCATCTGTGGGACAGGGCCTGGACCTGTGCGACGAGTTCTGGGAGCCTCCTGAGGGCGACCTGAGCGCGATGATCGAGGCAAGACACTGAACCCTCCCAAGCCCTGTAAGCAGTATTAGATCCCTGACCCCCAAACAAACCCTACATCCCAGACCCTCGGGCGCGATTAAACCCTAAGCCCTACAAGCAACAATGGATCACAGGTGTTATTCGATCAGTATATCATCAGATCATGATATCGTTCTATGTTGAAATCATGATATCATTATATGGTAATATTCTTATATTATTGCATGCTTTTATTGTTAGTTTGTTATATATCATTTTTGATCCACTTTATATGACTGGCATTCTTATTCTGCTATGATCTTATACTTGTATATACACTATATTATACGATGAAAATGTTATATTGCTACATTGTTATACCTTTGTTTTCAAGTATTTTCTCTTTTTACAGTAAAGTCACCAAAAGCGGTGCAACTGAACACTTCGGCTTGCGAGCAGGACTTGCTGCCCAAAGCCTTTCCCACGTTCATCCTTAGCCTGACAATAGTGGGGGCCTGCCCAGCGGCGAGGCAACCCAAACCGGAGATCGTGGGTGTGAAGGTGCTGTTAGTGCAATCGGAGAACAGAGACTGGGTGGGGCGGGTAGGGAGGGGGGGGCGGGGGAAGGGGGGGGCTGCCATGATGCCTTGTCTGCTCCCATACGCTTGTCGCCTGCGGGGGCGCCCATTCCAGGCAGCAAAAAAAACCCTCCGTGCATCAATACATAGTCTTGTGCTCGGTCTATGATGAGTCATGCCCTAAACCCTAAACCCTAAAACCCACGAAGACAAGCTGAACCTAGGCGGCTTCCACCCAAGAAAAGTGGCTTCTGAGCGTGTTGTATTCTGACGCAAGACAAGGCGAATCTGTTTGTGTTCCTGGGAACTCTAGTCTTGTACATTTTGCAGATTTTCAGATCCAATCGTCGTTATGGCCGTTCTGGAGGTGACTTCCGGTGAAATTGCTCCACTGTGTCGGCATGACTTGAGAGCTTCAGTGCAGGGATTTTGGAGAACCGTACGACTTGTCAAGCTCAGAGTTTTCTGGCATCACAGTGGGAAGTTACATGGCTAGCGCCCGGGCCGAGGTTGCAGGTAATTTAAGAAAGGGGCTTAGACCCAAGCGCAGAAACACACACCCAATTGGGACACAGCTAGGGCTTCGTGGTGTTGGATTCAACGTGTTTATGTGGCGAACAAAGACAAGTTCAGTCAAATTGACATTCGCAGTTGACATGGTTCGCGAAAAGCGTTCAATGGAGGGATTTGGGACAGCATCATCGCTGAAATATCACTTGAACTTATTAGCTTTCTGTGTTTCCAGATGTCCATGGCCTAACTGTTCAGACCTCCCGACGTCGCACAACTTACCAGATGTCCCAAAAACAACTAGCTCTCCGGATTTCCTGGGGAGGGGGGAGGATGGGCTTCTGGGATTCTGGAACTTCTGCCACACCTCTTAGCCCGCGTAGCGTGCTCTTTTTGCACGTGTCGTGAGGGAGGGTTGAGATCTGAAGGGTCCTGAGAACCCCTGTTCGGCCTGTGAACACTCCGAAGGTGGATACCGGCAAAGGCATCAAGGGCAAGGGAAAGGGTGACGACGGCATGATGAGCAAAGGCAAAGGAAAGCTGCCAGTAGGCCCGGGCGCCCTGATACCACAAACCCATCCGAAATCTTTGGTCACCCGCAACATTTGGATGCACCCTTAACCCTTTTTGTCTTAGGTACCCCCCTTAAACCTCGAACCCAAATTTTCACCTGAAGTGCCCGGAGGGCTGAGGTCAGTTGCTCTTGGCTTAACCGGTTTTCTAAAGAAATGAAGTTCCAAATGTATACAGGACAGGATGCTGCCACGGTTTGAACAAAGTTTCGGTTGGGGTTGACACACCAGCGTCCTCACGCAGCAAGCAGTCGTACCCAGCGGAATTGCCACGACCACCCTCATTCATATGCCGTCATATTCGCAGTGTCTCTAGTGATGGCCCTGTTTGCATCGTAAGAACCCCATCTGCCTATGTGTATGTATATAACCAGCGAAATCCTACTCACCTATAGTCGAACTGGGGGGAGTTTCACTTTCTGATTTCTGGGTTTCGGGTTTTCTTGGTCTTCTGTTTTAACAGTGGCAGCTCCTTGTGCAAACCCTCGAGCTTGGGCAGGATTCCGTAGCAAAGGGCTCACATGCTTGGTCACGTTTCTCTAAGTTCGGCCGCAGACAACCGGGGCACGTTGAGCATGAAAGGCTCTGTGTTGCGGGTCCCCCGAGAAGTTAGAAACACGAGCCGCGAGCCTTCCGGCCAGCGGTTTTTTTTCGGGATGTCCAGAATTCGGGGTTAAGGGGAGAGATTGCCGTCGTAAGCTGCTCCTGTGAAGGAAAAGTTGCTGGAACAGGAACAAGCCAGCCGGAAGCGACGGGCCAGGCGCATCTCGAGCCTTTCGGTACTTGAAGTGCGCAATGTGGAGTCGCTTCCCTACTCATTCACAGAACAGTCTTTCGTCAGCAGTAACATCTTCTGCGGCGAGTCATCCTTAGCCCGAGAGACCACGCAGATTGGGCGGTGCAGGGGCGAATCTGAATGTTTGCCGCCCAGTATCTTGCTCGATGAGTCGTGTGGCCGGTGGTTGTGGGTCTTTTTTTGTTAAGGGGATGTGCATGTGGAATGGGAGGCCCAAGTCCGATCCGGAAAGGGTTTTCTGGCCCCTCGGCTCTCCACTGCCTACTATCAGCCCTGTATAGTTTGGGATATAAGAGGACCATCCTCCTTAAATTGCCAACCCCCCGAATCTAAACACACATGTGGATTCTAGCAGCCCGAGCTTTGCAGAGGGTTGAGGGTTACCCGGGCCCTGCGAGCTCCCAGCTGCCAGATCGCAAATGGGATGGTGAAGTCCTTCAACGTTGCCTGGTCCTCAGAGGTTTCATGCAGAACCTCAATACTTCCCCCCTACTGTCCCCACATAAATAATATACTACGTACCCGTTCCAAGTATGTGCGCCCCCGACCGCTTTTTTGAAAAAGAGAAGGCCTTCGGCTGAGGTCCGGGGTTTATAAGTCCTAGGATCATGGTAGGCTGAGTGCTTGGGCACAGGCCGCAGGGAATGGCTAAAGTCAGAAGCCAACAGGATGTAGAGTCTTGCTCCTGTGCGGAAACGCCATACACACAAACTGCTGCCTGATTGTTGCGGATGTCGGTGTCGGCCTCCCCATTGCCTCTTCTTGGTTTTTTAGGTCGGGCTTAAGAAGAGCTCAGAGCCTCAGTGAGGGTTTAGGGGGGGGGGGGGGCTCCTGTGCATGTGTCTCGAGTCCTTGAAACTCCATCTCAGTGAAGAAATCCCGTCCGGGGGGGGACCATAGTCCTTCACTTCTCTTTGGTTTGGGTTTAGACACGGGGCCCGGCTGCAAAAGGGTTCATCGGGGTTTCATCAGGCGACCAACTATGGGTTCATCGAGTCAGAAGAGTGCCCCGGCTATGATGGACGACCTGGAGCTGAGTTCTTGACCTTACTGGTGCCTGAGGGTGGGGCAGTGGATCCCAATAATCGTTTGAGTATCCCCTTGCCTAGCTCCCCACTCCTGTATAACGGCTAGTTGAGTTATGCTCAGTTGCCAGGTTGAGGTTTTAAAGAGGCTGCAGTTTTGAGGAATCGTGGATTAGGGGGAGCCCCAAAAGCTCGCGCGGAGTTTTGAATTTCCGTCCACCTGTCTCCACAGCAGGGAACAGCTACCTCTAAACCCTGAAACTTCTATTTTCAACGTATATCGATATGGGACTCCAACTTTGGAAGGGTCTCCCAGTGGAAGATCCCCAAAACCCTAAACCCTAAACCCTAAACCCTAAACCCTAAACCCTAAACCCTAAACCCTAAACTTCCAAGCCTAGGATCAAGGCCCAGTTCGGCTGCGACGTGGAACCGAGCTCGTCTTCGGTTTGGGGATGGGCCCGCTGCGACAAAGAGTTTAGGCTTTGCGGGAGTTTGGTGCTTCGAGCTCGATATGGTACTGAAACTAGGGAGCTGGGAGCGCTCAGGGTATCTGAATGCCAGAACTTCCTACTTGCATGAGAAGCGAGTAAGTTTCTGAGGTGGCTCGGGTCTGTTTGAGTCTGGACCGCTTCCTTAGAATACGACCCCCGCAAACAGCAACACTTGTCGGGGATTGGAGGGGGCGTTGAAGTTGAGTCTCAGGTTCGGAGACACGGACACATAGGTGCTCCAAGGATAGACAAGATGCTAGGCTTCGGGTGTGAGGAGCGCAATACTTGGGGTGTTCGGGCGCACGTTCCTCAGTTCCGCCACCTGCCGCCACGCAACTTCGAAAGCACCTTTCTTACAGGGACTTAGGGCGAGCTTCCCGATGTGTGGCATTGCAGGGTCCCACGCCCCTACAAGGCCCCGAAGAAGTCGCCAGGTCTTTATGCATGGCCGAGAATTCTCGGAAAGCGGCGTCCAGGCCTGGTTGCGGGTCGGAGGTTTGCGCAAGCCCAGGGGTGCCCTTCTGTCTTTTTGTTTGGTGGTTCCCCGATGAAGTAACTCCTGAAACAGGTTTAGTTTTGTTGTTGGAGTACATGGTTCCTGGGCTGCCAAGTCCTTCAATGCGGCTCTGATCTGTGTACACAGCCTCTGCCAAAAAGTGCGAAACACCCCTCGAGGACCAAGCACACACACCCCTGCAACTCCTTCGCTTCCGGAGCCTAAACGCTGACATGCTCAGCCCTATGTTGGTGTATACTGTTACTAACCTCCTAAGCCCCCTAAACCCTAAACTCCCTAAACTCCCTAAACCCCCTAAACCCGAAACTTGAAACCCTAAACCCTAAACCCTAAACCCTAAACCCGGCAGAGGTGGGGGATGCTGTTTCCTTCGAGGCTGCGGGATTAGCTCCGAGTTTTTTTTCTCATCTCTGCTTTCTGAGCCCCAATTTTTAGAGTTTGGGGCTTTGGGGTTTAGGGTTTGTAGGGTTTAGGGCCAGTCTAGGGTGTCAGGGTTTAGGGTTTAGGGCTAGGGTTGGGGCTTTGGGGTTTCAGGGTTTTGGGCTTAGGGCTGAGAGTTGAACAGTCTATAAGGCCCATGTTGCCACGTTGCTGAGGTTGTTCGGTGTTCTGTGCATGCGGGTGTGCACGGGCGCAGATTGTCAGACGTGTACTTTGTCGGAGGGCCGCAAAGGTTGGTCGGAAGGCTTTTGGACATGGGGCACTTACGGCCTACGGAGCGAAACCTGCAAACTAACTTTCAAGCGAAGCACTTCTAAATTTAGTTGTCGAGCAATGTTTTACGTCTTTGTCATAGGTAGGTTACTCGATGTCGGGCCTATGATAAGTCTTGAAGCACACCTACCCACGAACCCCAGATCCTCTTCGTGTGGAAGCCTTGCGGATGGGGATTTCGGATCTTACAGGTGTGGAAGAGATGGTTTTTCAGCTCGTGGGGGGTTGGGCTCCTCTGCGGTCTAGATGTCACAGTTTAAGACATCTTGGCAGGGCAGCCGGACGTGTGCTACGCACCCGCAGACAACATGTTTGGTGTTTGGGCTGCTGCTTCAACCCTACAAAGCCTACTAGTTGCTTAAGGTTTCCACCCCCCCAAAAAATTGTTTATTCTTCCTTATGAGGGTAATGTAGGGGTTATTATTGGGTAATGTCGGGATTATTATTTCATCTGCTTTGTTGGGTTCTTAAGCAAATAGTAGAGTCACTTGCATCATGTCAAGAAGCCATCTTATCAAATCGAAGCGCTTGCAGTGCCAACTGCCGGCAGGTGGCCACAAACAACAGAGGCGCGGTTCTGGCGGATGGTTTGGGCTTCCTTAGCCCTAAAAGGTTTGCGTTGGGAGTTCGGGCTGGCAAGTCTTCATTCAGCCACCCGGAGTACAGAGGGTCTTAGGTTTGGGGTCGTAGGTTTCGATCCCTGGTTTGCTAAATGAAGAGGACAGGAGTGGCTCTCTGAAAAACCCCATAAAGCCGGAGAGGGCATCCTCTTGATTCTTTATTCCCAGCTCCCTGGGTGTTTTTTGGTGGATGGCCTGACACAGACCTTTGGAACCTTTCAGGACGCGCTTTGTGGCTGATATGTTTAACGCGACGCGACCCGCCTCGCCCGGGGCCTGCGCAGAGGCGATTGTTCTACTCGCTTGGAGTGAAATAAGGAGGGATGGTGGGAAGGTGGAGGCCAGGGGGGGGGGGTGGTAGGGCCGGTGGTGGCTGGTGCTGATGCGACAGCTGTCGCCTAGGGTGGGGGAACCCATTCCAGGCAAAAAAGTGGGGGTGGGGTGGTGTGCCTGCTTTGTGCTCCCCGTACACCTACGGCCCTGGGCGGATTCTGCTTCTAGAGTCTGCGCTGCGCAGTGTGGTTGATGGGTACTTCTCAGCTCGAATGTTGTCGTGCTTTCTGGTCGATTCTTGCATGTTGTCAGGATGCGTGAAAGTTGATGCCAGTGCGTGCAGGGAGTGTAGGTCAACTTGAACCCTGTTGTCTTTCGGGCGCTGGCTCACCCCTCGCACCCTAAGCCGACTGGAATACTCCGTTTTACGGCCGCCAGATCCTAAGCCATTTCTCTGCTTCGTATAATCGAAGGATATCGAAGGGCTGCGGGGGCCCCGCAAGTCTGCGATTCAGGCTGCAGCCGCAAAAACCAACAAGTCCAATGTCAGCAGGACCTGTTTCTTCGCGTTTAGGAGGCCAAGATCCAGTTTGGGGTTTAGGATCGATGTGCTGGGGGTAGGATTCAGGGCTACGTTACAGGGAACATCCTTATCCGATATCCCCATACCCCAAAAGGTATACTAAACAGAATCCCAGCTCAAATATCCTTAAACCATGTTCCAACTTTCTGGACTGTACTGTAAGGTGTGAACAGAGTTGAACCTTGGATGCTTCTGTGCGTGCAGGGCAGCCGCAAGCCATCAACATTTTCCCGGATGCGGCCCGGAGCTCGTCGTGGTCGGTATCAAGAGACACGAAAGCTTAAACCCTAGTAATCCCTTACAACCCGGGACAAGTATTGGCAATTCATCCGAAACCAGGAGGGTGGAAGCCAAAAAGGCCTAGGAACTATCAGCCCCTTGAGCCCTTCGCAGGGCTAATTCCTGCGTCCTAAAAGCTCTGAAGCCCTGAACGGCTAAACCTAAAATGCCTTCTTCAGACAGGGGTGCATTAAGGAGTCTCTAATTAAGCCTCAAACCCTATAACCTGCCGGTAACCCTAAAGCCCGAAACCTGTTTTGAGAGTCTGGGGATTGAACCGATGTTTGTAAGTGAACCAAAATGGAAATAGCGCTGACGAATGGACGAAAGTGTGGGACCCTGAACCCTACAACTCCATCTACACTCCAAAACCCCCAGGTCCTACACCCCAAACCCTAAACCCTAATAAACCCTAAACACAACTCTTTTTTTGGTCTCGTCACCCCTCAGGGCGCAGAGCCTCCGGCGAAGAGGCAAAAGACCGAGCCGTCAGGAGCCCAGTCCAAGTTGAAACCGACAGCCACTGCCCAATATAGGGGCCTTAATAATTAGAATAGGGTTTTGGGGGGGTTATTGTAGTCTATTTATTATTCTGACTCTATATTAACTTCGCACTTCCTTGTGAGAGCACGTCGCCATTAAGAGCCGGTGTCTTTAAGGGATGCTTTGAGCAGACGATTCCAGAACGTACCCAAACCTCTAGAACTACCCTCAACCAGGGACTTCTAATGAGTCGTCCCCCCAAGACTTAGGTTGCCTTGAAACAAAGCAAGAACTTACAAACGATGAGGCTCATGGAATTGATTGCGCGCGCACACAAAACACTCTGTTCTACATCTTAGAAGCCCCAATGCGAAACGGTTGAAGCTTGACATGTGTGCACCGCGAGGGCGTCATGCTTCATGGCAGGGCGGGTTTGCAATAGCCTCCGACGCCATCCGAGAAGAGCTCATGACCTTGACATCATGGCCCTAAGCCGACGGCCCTGAACCCTAAACCCTAAACCCTAAACGTTATTGTGCTTCTTAGCAACATAGCCGGGGCAAAGATGCCACAAGCACGGGCTGTGCCCACAAGCCTAGAGCGGCCCTTGTCAGAGCAAGTGCCAAGTAGGCTCAGGTTCTTGCTCCTAAGTAGTCCCAGTTCCCTTAAAGCTGAACCTGTAACCCCTTTATGCCGTTGTGAGAATCGAGGCCCTTAACCCATGGCCACAAACCCGTTTACATCGGACAGCCTGCAATCCGTAAACCCTTAAACCCTAAACCAAACCCCAAAATCGCAAGCCCTGCTCCGTGCATTTCTGGCCTCCAACCCGAAGCCCAAAACACTGAAAATGGGTTGCAGGACTGAGGGTTAAGGGGGTTTGGTTTGGGTGAGGCGTTGCGTTGGGTGGGGGGAGGGGTCTGATATGGGTGAGCCGAAAGTTCTCAAAGCCCCGGAAGTCGAAGCATGTGCCCTTCCGGCCCAGGCAAGACGCAGGTCCACGGGGACTAGGGTTTGGGTTTAGGGTTTAGGGTGCAAAAGGGCTTGCGAGAGTGTGAGGTTTTGTGTTTTGCCTATTTGTATTCATGTCATCGCGTATATCTGAGAGACGAGACGCTGTGCAGGGTGCCCCAGCTAGAGCCCGACGTTAGGTAGCAGCAACCAACCGGCCAACACCTTCAACGCCACAAAAAGCTGAGCTTGTTGGAAGGAGCCCACTTAGAAACTTAGAATTGCAACCCTTTCGACCAACTTGGCACCTTGCCGAACCCTTAGCTCCTACACCCGAGTGTTTCGAGTTCTTCTGCTCTCCTGATGTGTGTGGGGTCGGCAGGGAGGGGGGGGGGGGGCAGCAAGCATGTTGGAAACGAGGGTGGGCGTAGGGACGTACGGGAATACCAGGTCCCGGATGCGAGTCGAAATCCCCAGCGGCTCTCGTCTCCAGGACTCGAGACCGACTATGCGATGCAGTATGAGCAGCCGGCTGAGGTGGGGGGGGGGAGGAGAAGGTTGGGGCGAAGTCGAGGGAGAGAAGAACAGTAGAAACTGCACAGGGCAGAAGCATCGTGGTTGCAGGGCATGAGGGCTTGCACGTCGGAAATTGTCAGCCCAAGTGGTCTCCTATCCCGCGCTTCGTCTCTGTAGAGTTCAGCCTCCCACAGTGCCCAGCTTTCCACAGGAGGTACCCCCGGAAGGGTACGACAACTTCAGCTTCTCTGCAACCTGGCGGCTGTTCAGAGTCCGGACTCGGGGTCTCAGTGATCTTGGGCCTATTGAACTTATTGTATCTGAGTTCTAGAGGTTCAGTTCAGGAGAAGAACAGGGGTCTGGAAGCCGTAGTGCACAAGTCACAGACATCAACATCCCTTGACTCGAAGCGTGGTCGAACCAGGGTGCCCTCACCCGCAACACAGAGTTACCCACCCAAATCTCAAGGCCTCGAATCAACGCAATCTGGCTCAGCCCCCCAAACAAAAAGCCGCTCAGGACATGCTCAATGCCAACGACGGCAGCTATGAATAGAGCATGATTGAGCATGATGTACACCATCCTTCGGAGCCCCATGTTGTGAACTATGACGCCAAGCCTTGGGGCCTAGGTAGCCTCCGAAACCCCTAAACCCCTACAACAATCAACCCCCCCCCCATATCCCCTCTCTCCCAGTGCCTTAAGCAAGGTAGACATGTGCAAGGGCAATTCCTGCGGTGGTGCCCCACTGCTTAGTCACAAAACTGCAATTTGTTGTATGGCCCTCTGTCGAGGGCTCACAAGACCACAGCCGATGCATGGTGCAGCAGTCTAGGTCGATGAGGGCTGATGAGGGTTGCTATTTCTCTGGAACTAGTGCGTCCTCCGCTGTTGCGGATGCAAAAAAAAACTGCGGGTACCATCGCCCAGCCCTGTGCAGCCTTCCTTCATGCTTGTGCGCGGCTTGGCATGTGCTTCTCGCAGCTGAAAGCCCGCCTAAGCTCTAAGCCAAGCCTCAAGTCCTAAGCCTGTGCGGTGGACAAGGAGTTTAGGAAGGATGAGGGTTTTCGAGAAAAAGCCCTGCCCCCTTACAGGGCGCAGAAAAGAGTGTCTCGTGTTTGGGTCCTACTCTGCCCTGCCCTTCTAAGAAGGATCCCTAACAAGGGATCATAAGTTTGAAGACCCCTCATAGGCCGCTTCAAGGCACTTACTGAGAGGTCGCCCTATCTATGTCCCCGTAGCCCTTTTTTGAGACGACGATGACAAGGAGAGTGATAACAGCCTATAAAAACCCTCCCGAAAAGACAGTGTGCCCTGGGGCGCAGCTGCCTAACGAGAGACGGGCCGAGGCGTGTAGTTTGGGATGGCAGGGGCTCTCGGCCTCAGCACGGGTTCAAAAAAGGGGCTGGCGGCTTAGGGTTTAGGGTTTAGGGTTTAGGGTTAGGGTTTAGGGTTTAGGGTTTAGGGTTTAGGGTTTAGGGTTTAGGGTTTAGGGTTTAGGGTTTAGGGTTTAGGGTTTAGGGTTTAGGGTTTAGGGAGGGCATGTTGCATCAACGGGGTTTGAGGTTTTGCTTCCCACCCGTGCCTGCTGTTTGCTGGTACTGCATATGGTGTTGTTGCAGCCAGGCAAGAGCAAGAGCCCTGGCGATCATGATTGGTTTGTTAGGGTACATGATATATGGGCACCCAACCTACGGCGTTACATAGCTACGTACGTTTTTCCGGGTGGTCCCAGGCATGATCCTTAAAGGCTTTGCCGAGAAGTGACAAGCCACGAAGACCCTCACGGCCGCTCGGTTTTGGCTTGCGAGCCCCTGCAGACAGACTAATGTTTCTCACGACCATCTGCTGCAGAGCAAGAGCAAGAAGCTTAGAAAAAACTGTTGCTTGGATGGTGGAAGTGACAGCCCCTTGACTCTGCCACGTAGGTACTTGACTGGGTCTGAATCACCAACCGGTAGGCCCCAACAAGGATTCGCAGGTGCCGAGCACATTGGGACATGGGAATTTACAGCATGAAGTTCCTCTTGGCACCGATTCCCTTTGAGAGAGCCTCTTTCAGCAGGCAGTTCATTCCTCGTCGCATTCTCTGAGCAGGGCCCAGGTTACAACGAGGGTAAGGGTTACTCCGTATCTGTCTGTCTGAGGGATGATGGAGGCTCAGAGACCTACAAGCGACAGGCTTGTTGAGAAGCACCGAACCTTAAGAACGTTGTTTAGCAAGAACCTGCAACAATTAAAATCTGGTCATTTCCCAAAATAGGGGTAACCCTAATTTGACAGCAATCCTTCTTCTAGGTACCCTTTTTCGGGAAGCCTCCGTGTAAGCTTCGGGATTCTCAGGCAAGGGAAAGGAGGGTAATAGAGTTCCTCCTCGACTTCGAGGGTTTCGTTTACAAGCTTGCCTACAACCCGAGGAACCCTCTCAGAAACCTTGCTTGGGTTTGGGGGATTACAGCTGGGCTGTCTGTTAAGTTCTTTTTCGAAAAAAGTCCAGTTCAGGGCAAGAAACCCTAAACCCTAAACCCTAAACCCTAAACACCCCAGAGGGTTGACTGTGGTCATCTCCATGCTGCGGTGCTGGCCGCGAAGAGTCCAGAAACCTCCGGAGCGCCCAACCTGCACGCTGATGGAGAAGACGAGCCTCGGCTCCCACAGTGGGTTATTTTGGGGGGTGTAGGGTTAGGGTTGGCAGTAGGGTTTGGGGTTCAGGGTTTGTGCAAAGGGTTTAGGGTTTGGGTTTTGGGGTTTAGGTTCTAGGGTCAGTAAATCTGGTGATGCCCGGCAGGATGCAAAAAGGGTTTAGGGTTTGAGTCAAATTTGAGGTTTGGGGTATCTGTCGGTTGCTCGGGAGTTCCGCAACCCTAGTAGCGGTTTCTAGAATGCCGCTTCTAGCCGATTCTCCCTCCAACTGTGTCCTCGAGCCTTGGGTTTGAGGGCCAATGTTGAGGAGCTTCGCCTTTATTAGGTGGGTCTAGGTTTTGAGGTTTTGGGGGTTGTTGAGTATGTTTGGGAGGCGTCCCACATCGTGAAACCCCCCCCCCCACCAAAGTTTGACCATTCGGTCTACAGCTTCCGAGTTCTCCTTAAAAGTGGCCACGAGAGGATGTGTGTTGTGCAGGGAGGCGGAGCATTTCGTGCCCTTGCGCCCTTCCCCTCTTTCAGTGTCTTACCAAAGTCACTCAAACAGCCATGGGATGCGGGGCAAGCTCGGTGAAAGTGCATCCGACGGCACAGCGGCGCCAGCTCTCCGTGGTGCTCCCCACATTTGATGAACTCCTGGTGGCCTCACAGCAGCTGACGATCTCGGATGCTGCGGGACCCGAAGTCGCTGGGCATGTTCGGAAAGCAGCCAAGGAGCGCCTCGTGCGTCTGGCGCAGACGGGCAGCAGCCGCGCAAGCTCCGCCAGCACAGTCATCTTTCCGGAGGGCCACGAGGAGGAAGACTCCCTGCCAGGATGGTCTTCGATGGACTCCAGGGCCTTCGAATCGAGACCCGCGTGCTCTGCTCCCATGGCCCCGGATCGCCGGCTTCATGAACAGCATCTCTGTGTGCTGGATCAGTTTCAGCGAGATGTGGAGCAAGCACCCATTGAGTTCCTCAAGATCGTCGAGTCCTGCCGCTAGAGTCGCTAGAGGCCCCAAATTTAAATGCTTGGCGCGCGTGGTTCTGCACCTTTGGTTAGAGACCAAGAGGTGAACGCTTGTCGAATGCTCTCTGGCACTCTGGGACCGAATTGTTGTCACCTTCGCCTTCGTAGTAGCGTTTTGGAGGATCGTACCTAGAATTCTCTTGATGTTTACCGGCGGAATGAAGTGAGATATGAAAAGCCGATAGGTGATTGACAAATTGGGTCCAGGGAAAAATGTCCACCAAAACTCTTAGCTGGCACCATGTGCTGAAATTGTGGTCCATCATGCGGGCCTTAGGCCCTGAACCTTGACCCCCTGACCGGCTACAGCTATTCTAATGGCGTATACGTTTGTTGCAGATGGGATGTCGGCAACGCCACGCTTTGAGTCCACATGATGTTGTGGAACCGGGGCTAGCTAAAGGGACTGTGTAGACATTTGGGAGCGGATGTACTGAGTACGGGATGTTCTGCATCAACGCCAATCAATATCATTCAAGAGTGTTCGCTGAGCGCAGGACTTTTATCAAAAGCGTGAGTTGTCCGTGCCTACGTCTGCTGTCGGGCGTCGATCCCTGAACCTAAATCCTGCAACTTGTGGAAGTGAAACTCCCTCAAGACTGCACCACGAGTATATGGGCACCATCAGCCTGAACCTCGACAACCTCGGTCGACTCGTTCGGGTTAGGGCTCATGCGAGCATCCGGAGGCACGTGCCGCCTGGGCACGTCGCCTTTCGTACTAGGCTATCAGCCTTTGGGTCATTAGATGTATGCCATGTTGTGCCTTATCTTGTGTTTATTATGCAAAATAGGCTTTGAAGCCAGCAGACTGTGTTTGTTCGATACTGCGCAAAGCGCAGTGGCCGTGTTTGCCTGATGTTGAGTTCGGTATGGTGCTTAGGATGAGCTTCTTAGGTGTCGACCGCCGGAATGGTGGTTCTGCGCATGATTTCTGGTGGTATCCATACTTGGGTTCAAGGATGTAGCTCCCTGATTCTGCGGTTCCGTGCGCAACCACCAAAACAGCCAACCGTGCTGTCTGGATACCGCGTCATCACGGCAGCAGGAATTTGGCCGTGAGAAGCTCGGGGTGACGGCCATGGGGCGTGGGATTCAGAAAGCCTGTGAGAAACTTGCCTTTGCAAGCTACAGAGACTCCCCATGGCCCGAACTATTGCACCTAGTGCAAGGCAGCTACCCCTAAGGGCCTATGAAACCTTATTATTACGTACTTGGGCCCCAAAATCCCTAAATCGGAGGCGCTTTAAGGCCCAAAGCAGTCCCTATTTGGAGGTACATGGACCCTTAGGGTGCTATTTCAAGGAGAGGTTGTTCTTTATACCATACATCTGCGCAGTGATCGCTGCTTGCGCACCTTGGATGGTTCATCCAGCGTTCATGCTTAGGAGCACCTTTTCGTCACCGATGCCAAAGAATAGAGCAGTGAGCTTCCAATGAGCTTGCCAGAGGCGGCTCCAGCCCCTTCAGATTCTGACAGGGAGTTTTGGACAGAGACGTTTTCAACGGGCAGCTGTCTTGGAGGGAGGCTGTCATACTCGACACGTCTACGCAGTGACTCGCTGCGCTGAGTTGTGTTCAGGGGTCATGCTAAGTCATGCTTGAAACAGCAACACGCGTCACTAATGGCAAAGAGCAGAGCAGCGAGTTCCATCCACAAATTCTGAAAGGAGGCGGGCAAAGAAAACAAAAAGGGCAGTTTTCTTTGTGTGCTTGTTCCAGCCCTTGCGGCGGGGTTTTTTGGTTTGCTGGAGGCAGCGCGCACTTTCGTTTGCTCGACCCACTCAAAGAGAGATATGTGCCCCAAACCAGGAGGACTCTTACGCTTCTTGCGTTTGAGGCTCAGGGTTTAGGTTCCAGTGTACTGGGTGGCTTCAGTGCATGTTGGGCTTGTTCTACTGTTCTCGGCGTTGCTTGTTTGGGGTTTCCACGTCTCGGGTTCAAGCCCCCTTAAACGTGCACACGCAAAGAAAAGAGAGACCCCTGCACGACCCGGACCCGCCTCGGCTTTGAACTGGACACCCTTCCTTGGAGAAGTAAGGACGGGTCAGCGCTGCTCTTCGCAGTCTCTACAGCACGGCTTTGGCGCGCAACGTCCTCTCTGTCGTGGAGGTCTAGGGATTTAGGGTTTAGGGTTTAGGGTTTAGGGCACACTATTACGTAGCACTGGGAGCCTGTGCTTGGGCAGTTTCTGGCAGCACCCATGGGTTCTCACACAAGCTGTCTGCGTAGCTTTGTATGAGAACGATGCCACATGGAGAAATGTGAGCAGAGGTTATTTTGGATGTTGTACCCTTTGTAGCAATGCTAGGTACTGCAGGCCCCTGACCTTTGGCTTTGGCTTTGAGGTGAGTCCATTGTCCCCGCCGACCCTAACCTTTCCTTAAAGCGGGAAAAACCTTGCCTGCGCTTGCGCCACTTGTGAGAGTCGAAAGCGGGGCTATAGGGTTCTGACTATTAGGGCAAGCGTGTGTGGTCCATGGGCATAGCAGAGCAAAGTGAGTGAAGTATTTGACATGGGCATCAAGGTAGCTACAGAGGTACAGGACAGTATAGAGCAGTGGCATGATCATTTCCGTGCGCTGCCCCTCGGCTCCCAGAGCTCTGGTGGCACCTTATGGCCTTCTGAGTCGCAGTTGCCACCACGCCGTTTGATCTCGGAATTTCGGACACGGCAACGACAGACCTCTTATCTGACCTTATCTGATCGAAGATGTTGATATATCTCTCAGAGTCTCGTAAGTCGTGGACGATCATTACAGTTTAGGCCAGGTTGAGGGGCGGCAGGCATGTAGCTACGGCATGCTACTTGGGTTCATGGCATGCCCGTGATGAGAGCTGCTAGGATCCTGAGTAACCGAGGGCTGAATCTGAAACGCTGAAAAGGCCGACACGACGTCAAAAGACGAAAGCCCAACATCTTGCCCCTAAGCACTGTGATCAAGCCTGCGTCAGCGCGTACATGACATGACAGATGAGGCCGGCTACAAGGCGGGTCCTGACGTTCATTTGTGTTTATGGCAAGTCTATGGCAAGGAGGGGACGGGGGATGTTGCGCGTTGAGACTTCCTGGCCATCGCGCCTGTCTTGGCATTGTCGTAGGGAACGCGCAAAACCTGCCCTCTGCTCCAAAGCCTCCGAAGCCCCCGAAGCCTCAAACCCAGGGCGTCCCTTTGCCGGTCTTTGGCGCTGAGCCCTGTGAGGGCTCCATCCGGCTTGGGGCCTAGGACCTAAGGACTTTTGGGCTTCAGGGCTTCAGGTGGTTGAGGGTGGGGGTCTGAACCCTCGAATGGGTTTTGACATGTCCCAGAGGTTTCGTGCGGCATTGAGGCCAGGGGATGCTAGGGGCTCCGACGGTCGGAATCTACGTGGCTGCCCAGAGCGAGACGAAGCTGCGGGTTGGCACGTTGGACTTTCTCTATCTCTCCCTCTCCCTCTCTCTCTGTCGCTCTCGCTCTCGCTCTCTCTCTCTCTCTATACATTACTATGTATGTTTATGTGTATGTATGTATGGTATGTCTATATATACATAACTACATGAATGCATGTTTTACACACACACACACATATACAGACAGACAGACAGACAGACAGACAGACAGACAGACAGACATACATGTATATATACGTACATATATACATATACATGTATATACATACATGTACATATACACGTACACATACACATACACTTACACGTACACTTACATGTACATGTACAGATACATATACATACAATAATTAGTAAGCGCGAGTGGACACTGCGAGGATGTTTTCGGCTCCTGGCAGTCATTTGAAAGGTCCCTGGCTGGACTTCTTATTGATGCTCAGAGCGCGGCTTGGAGTTTCATGCGTGCTGTCACAAGGTTGGCACTCGTTGAAGGGACAAATGATGTAGACTGTATCATGAAACCCTTAGCCCGCTTGTTCCTAAACCCTAAAACTGGAGGGGGGAATTGGTTTCAAAGTTGAACCAGTTTGAGGAAGCCACCTTTTTCGAAACTGAGCAACGTGTGATGCGTTGTGACGCTCAGTCAGCCAGGCGGGTGGCCAAAGAAAAACAGCGCATGGCATGATTATTCGCGTTCGTCGAGGCCCGCAAGATGTCGGAAGTGCCCCGGCACTGTGCACCCGGCATGTAGTGCTTAGATTCGCCCACATCGCGCTTTTCCACAAAATGCTCACATCGTCACATCCAACAGCCTGCAAACCTTAGCTCAACACTGCAACCCCGTAAAAGCCCTTAAGCCCTCCATGCTTGGGTATGCAAAGGTAGTGGCGTAGTTCCTGTTGGTGTTGGGCCGTCCCTGCCGAGATTGCAACAAAAGGCCTACCCTGAAAGCACGGCCACGCAGCAAGGCCCGACACGTCGGCGGTGGCAGCAGCGGATGATGAGCTTCTTGAGGCCAGCTGTTGTAAAGCTGCTGCTTTTTTCAACGCAAGGGTTTTGGGGTTTATGCGACTCGGTAAAAAAGGTGTCTTCGTTTTTCGTGGCGAGAAGGGCACGAAGGTTTAGGCATAGTGCTGTGGGCTTGGTGGTGTAGGATGTATGCTTTTGGTTGGCTTTGGGGCCAAGAAGCTAGAGAACGGTGAGTGAACTTGAGCCCGTTAGGGCTCATAGGGGTTTCGGGGTTTAGGGTTTGTCAGGGTTTAGGGTTTATAGGGGTTTATAAGGACTTAGAAGGGTTTAAGGTTGAACCCTAAAACCTGTGCCAACTTGTGAACCCTAAACTCTCAACCCGAAACCCCAAACCCTAGAGCAGAAACCCCATACCCTCTACCCTATACCCTGTAAAACCTAAAACCTGTTGAGTGCTTTCAGATTGCGCGGCCTTGCAGTCTTCAGTCGGGCTGGACCCCGAAGTCTGGCGGAGAATGCATCAGAAAAATCGACTCTAGGCCCGAAACCCTCAACCTTAAGCCCCAAACCCACAACCTTAAGCCTTAAAACCCTTACCAACGAGAAGTGTACCAA